ATAAACTTGCATTTGCAAGAAAAAAAAAGTCAGAATTGTGAGTTAAAATAGGTAAATGTTATGTAAAATTTTGTTTAAATAGTATTTCATGCTTTAACTGTAGGGCTAATACAATATGTCCCGTATGTGAATATTATATAGACCTATTGTTTAAATCTAATTTATGCTTTAAAGTAGGGTAATCATAGCAGGTTTCATCCATAGTCTGTCGGTTTAAACGTCTGCGTTTAGCTTCAAATGGCTTCTTTGACGACAGTATTATATAAAATTATTTGCATTCCGATTCTGACATCCAAAGGCACAACAATACATTTTTTTCTCTTATTCCGTGGATTTTACCCGCTTCCCTCCACTTCTTCCCAGTGTTTTCTGCCACCACAATGCGCGCGCAGCTGCATGTGACGTAACTGTGACGTCTACTCCAAATTGGTCTATTGACTGTATACGTTTTTGCGGAATGTTTGAGTTAGCTCTAAGAGGGGATGATGAGACGGAAACCTCCGACAATCCCGGTGTTTTCAGAGGTCTTGTGGATCTTGTTGCTTCCCTTGTCAATATCATGCAGGAACATCTTGAGCACGCCACAGTTTTTAAGGGTACCTCTAAAACCATTCAGAACGATTTAATGGACTGCATGCTTCATGTAATGCAATGCCACATTATAGGTGAGCTGAAAAAAAAAAAGATTTTCTGTCTGTACAGTGTGAAGAAACCACGGACATATAAACTCACTGCCAACTCGACCTTTTTGGATCTGTTTCATTTAATTATGCCCCGTGTTGACATCCTTTATGCACAGCTTCAAATGCGAGGAATTGACGCAGTAGAGGCACACAGAGTTACAAGAAGTTTTGTGGATTCCATAGGCAAAATCTGCGATGATATTCCATCTCTGTGCGCAAAATATACTGGCGCGGATGCTCAGCCTAAACGAAAGTGCGCACCCAATTTACAACAGATCGCATATGAAGTTTGCGACACTGTAATAGCCAATGCCAAAGATAGGTTTTCAATAGAAAAACGTTTAACACATGAGTCATCGAAAAATGTGCTAATATGACACAGGAAGTGTCCTCATAAACCATATATACCAGTACACACACACACACACACACCACAGACACTCATACAAAGTATATCTGTTGAACACACACACACACACACACACGGAAAGGGCACCGCAACTTTACAATTGTTCAATTAAAATAAACATATTTTGCTCCATACAACGTGTCTGATGTGTCTTTGAATAAAATTACATTCAGAGGACTTAAAGGGATACTCCACCCCAAAATGAAAATTTTGTCATTAATCACTTACCCCCATGTCGTGCCAAACCCGTAAAAGCTTCGTTCGTCTTCGGAACACAATTTAAGATATTTTGGATGAAAACCGGGAGGCTTGTGACTGTCCCATTGACTGCCAAGTAAATTACACTGTCAAGGTCCAGAAAAGTATGAAAGACACATACGGTCTTTCATACACGGATGTGCTGTTTTCTTTCAAATCAAAGCGTAAATACACGTAGAAAACGTATCCTTGTGGTGCGGCTGGCACAGAAGAGCGTAAGCTGCCTGTGTTCAGCTCATATTCTCCAAAATGGCGCTACGGTGACGCGGACAGACATAGAGGAGACGAATTGTTGTGTAAAGTCGTTATTTTTGTTTTCTTTGCGTACAAAAAGTATTCTCGTCACTTCATAACGTTACGGTTGAACCACTGATGGCAGCTGGACTATTCTGACGATGCTTTTCATACTCTTTTCTGGACCTTGACAGTGCAATTTACTTGGCAGTCTATGGGACAGTCACAAGCCTCCCGGTTTTCATCCAAAATATCTTAAATTGTGTTCCGAAGACGAACTAAGCTTTTACGGGTTTGGAATGACTAATGTCAATTTAAATTTTCATTTTGGGGTGGAGTATCCCTTTAAAGCGAAAGTCCCCTAAACGTCCCGAATGGCCGCTGCACGTCCTGTGAACGTCCTTCGCGGACGTCCGCTCGACGTCAAGGGGAACCTACACGCTGACGTCCGGGGGACGTTCGCAGAGGCCATTTAGGGGACGTCCTGGGGACCTTTTTTTGTTAGCTGGGGAGATACTCAGCTACTCATCCGCGGTGCGTGTTGCATTAGCGCTGTCATATCTTACTATAACATGCCATATAGCCTATAAAACGCTCTCACACGTTTATTATTTTAATATTTTGGGAAGAGTAAAATTTGCATATGTGGTTTCAACAACCAGATACATTCACACTTGTCCAGTTTCATCTGGAATGCCTCCCAGACCACCTCTTGAAATGGTTTGAGCGATTAGATTTAAATCCGTCTCGAAAGCGTTTCGGAGGGCATTTACTCCTGGTCTTTTCACAATCCGATAGTTATCCGATCAGAGAAAATGCATGAAGTGGCCAGGTGTCCTGTGGTGAATTGTGTGAATTTCACTGCTGTGACTTATTCTACAGCTGCAATACCTCAAGTCAAACCTTACATTGAATTATTTTGCATTTATACAACTTTTACCTTGGTTCTCAATTACATTTGTCGTATTTCTTTTATCTGTTACACTCAGTTCAGTTCATGCCGCTCTTTTCTACAGAGCTGATGGTCTGAATCAGAGGAGTTAGATAAGAAAAACTGCTAAATTTGCAGAGCTGTGGGGCACATGGCGCGGAATTAAGAACCGCTGATATAAAGGAAGTTGTGGCCTTGCAGGAACTCAATGCGATAACATTTAGATCTTGTGATATGAGGGATAAAAAGATAAAAAGCCACATGTCAACATCTTTTTTACACTCCAGCTCTAACATCAACACATCTCTTATTTTATCACTAAACCTGTTTTGAAGAGTTTGTCTTTTCATATTTGACTGAAACTGTTCATATTTGACTGAAAATGATTTGGTTCTGTTTGTGCTTGTGGTGTCTAGTTGGTGAGTTTTAAACATTTTTATGAGTTCTGCAACAGATTCATGGATTTTCCCCCCCTAAATGTCTTTTATGTAACAACACTGAAGCTCAAATACTTGCAGCACTAGTTTTCATTGGAGACATTATTGTCATCAGAAGTAAAAAGTGTTTTCTGTTTATGATGTTCGGAGCTCAAATGAACTTCAGTGTTTTATTCCAAATCACCACAAAGATGTATTTCAAATGTAAACTTCAAACCATTTACATTAGTAAACCATTTGTAAGTTATTAGTAGTTCTTATTCTGTTTCTGTTTGCTCTTCAGGCATGTTTGGGGATACATATGGGCTGAAGGCAGTGTCAGTGATGGAGGGAGAATCTGTCACTTTACACACTGATAGAGAAATGAGAAATAATGATCGGATTCTGTGGAGGTTTGGACCGGAAAACACTTTAATAGCTGAAATCAATGTGGTGGACAGCAGCATGACTGTAAATGATGATTCTGATGGACGATTCAGAGGCAGAATGAAGGTGGATCGTCAAACTGGATGTCTGACCATCACAAACACCAGAATTGAACATGCTGGACGTTATGAACTACAGACCAACCCTATGAAGAAGGTTTTCATTCTCACAGTCTACGGTGAGTTCAATATCAGTTTCATCTGTTGTGTCCATGTGTTTGTTTGGGATATTATTCTTCACTTTAGTGAATTCAATACTACCATCATGAAGGAATCTGAAAGTCTTAATCTGTGACAAACACTGTTTCTGGTTGTTCTGCAGGTGCGGTTGGAGATAGGGATGAGATGAAGTCAGTTTTAGTGATGGAGGGAAACTCTGTCACTCTACACATTGGTACTGAAATGAGGAACAATGATCTGATTCAGTGGAGGTTTGGAAACTATTTAATAGCTGAAATCAAGGAAACGGCCAACGGCATCACTATATATGATGATGTTCTTGAAGGGAGATTCAGAGACAGACTGCAGGTCGATGAGGAAACCGGATCTTTGACCTTTACAAATGCCAGAATTGAACACACTGGATTTTATCAACTACAGACCAACCATACGAAGAAGGTTTTCACTCTCAGTGTCTATGGTGAGTTGGTTATACCTTGTTTTTTTTATTTATTACAGTTTTCAAGTGGGTCTAAAGAAGTAGTGTATCATTTATGTAGTGAATCAGCTCAAGGGGGAAATATGAATAATTAATCATAACTAGTTATAATTAATTATAAATATTTAGATCCGCTGTAAGTATTTACTTGACCTCTCAGGGTCAACTGTCTGTCAATTCTAAGAACGTTCATTTCCTGGTTAACTCATCTTAGAATCTAACCGAACCGCAGACCAGAGGCGGGTCACCGGTGTGAGGCCTTTAAGGTCTGAGAAGATTCACGCCTCTCAAGAT